GCGGGACGAGCTGGGCGGGAGGGAGCAAGCCGCGCTCCAGGGCCCCGGGATCCCACCCTTTTTCTCCACCGGACCCGGACCCGAAGCCGAGCCTTGACGCACCTCTGAGCGCTCAGGCCGGGCTGTCTCTCAGGCGCTCCAGCCAGCCGGGAAGCGAAGGGCACAGGCGATCGGCTGCTCAGAAACCAGGCCTCTTGCCCGAAGGCCAGGCCAGGGAGGGCGTTTGCTCTCTGCTTCGGGGATGCTCTTGGGCCCCTAGCACTGGTTGGGGGACCGAGCCTGGGACCAGAGTTTACATCCCCACCACAGGCACAAGACCAGTGGGCCTATCGCTGGGGATCTAAACGACCTCAGATCCAGGGCACTTGAACTTCCTGCACAGTGCTGACCAGGAGTGAGTGGCCTTCATTACCCAAGCGAAGGAAGCTGACACCTCTGGAGAAGAGGCCCAAGTCTGAATGTTGAGTGTTGGCGCTGGCCTGATCCTTCCCAGAGCGTCCCTGGGACACTCCAGCGGAAGACAAATGAGGCCTCCTGCGGGGCCGCAGAGCAGACCTGCCCGTACCTTGCTGGTGGGCAGAGGCCTGCTCGTGCACTGCTGCTGGCACTGCTGCTGCCCTACACTTCCAGGTCGGCTGGGCTGCCGCAGGAGCTTGCGCCGCCGGCGGCTCAGACCTGTGGGCCTCTGCCGGGTCGCCAGTCTTTCTTCTTTGACAGAGATCTGCCTTGTCCTGCGGTGCCCTCTCCGCTCTGCTCCATCCCCTTCTAGCCTTCCTGCCTTCGGAGTCTACTCCCACCACTGGTGGGCTCACCTGTTTCTCTTGGTGGAGTCTCAGTCTCTCCTCCTACCTTTCCCCTAAGAGGAGCCCTTGTGCCTCCTTCTCCAGCATGTTTACCTGTGCCTTACCTTAGCCGGTCACTTGAGGACTACAGTGGGACTAGGGTGGGCCCCAGAATGAGGAGCCAGAGGGGATGGAGGCCTTCTGAGGCTGGGCTGGCCGATCCCAATCCCACAAGCCACCTCCCCCTGAACCCCCTCCAGCTGTGTTCTCCGGGCCGGTGGAGGCAGGGCCAGTTTGCTCTAAGTTCATCTAGAACACAGCGCCACAGCTGCCATTCGCTTACATTTGCTGTGTTGTTGGTAATTCGTTTGAAGCGGGCAAAAGATCATTTTAGGACTAAAGAACATAGACACCTCCTCATTAGGAAGAGCTTGAACGGAGAAAACAAAATCGACAATTTTTGTGTCCTCGGTGTGCTTTGGGATTTCCAGGAAGCCCCACCGCCACCCTGTGGGACATCCCGCTACAGCCTGACCAGTGGCTACTGTGCCTTGTGTGACACAGAGAAACAAATGTGCACATTCCCTCCTTCCCTTTTCTGAATGCAGCAGTGAGATTTGGGTGGTAATTGCCC